ACTTCTGAGAGAAAAGAAGAGGTGGTTGTTGAAGTTTGACACATTATAAGGGGCAGAGTTCCATTATCAGCTCAGAAGGTTTGAGGGGAGAAAAAAGCCATAATGGGAGGGATGAATGAATGAGATGTAAATTGCCTTGAGAATTGCAGCAGCATCCACTGCCTACACCACATGCCAGTTGCTTGGGTCAGGGGGAGGAGAGATACACAAGAGCAAGACCACAGGGACATTCTGCATTTCCCATGTCCCTCTTCACATACTATTTTTGCATGACACTAGTTATGAAACTGAAAACGTTGGTTCAGCTTCAGGCAGCAATTTTAGGGTCAATTGCTTCTTCACCAGACACTGAAATCACAATTTGTCAAGCATCAAATTAACTGTGAACGTTTTAGGGGACAGTGAACTTGAGTTATGCGTTATTATTGGGTCCCCTTCCTCAAAAATCTATCTTGTAATCCCTCTTGATATGGCAGGTGCCTTTTTTTATTTTTGCTAGAATCACACTGGAAGATAAACTCAATTACACTACTTGCTTTTTGCTCCATCAACTCATTCCTGACTGTTATGCACTCTTGAAAGTACAGATCTCAAGTCATGGAATACGCTTTCAAAACCATGTGAAGCGTTTTATCAATTTATCACAAGAGTACATCAATATAGGTTTTCCAGCTGAAAGCATTTAAAAGTTTCCTGAAAACTTTTATAGCTCAGCTTGGACCCACTCCTAATCCACAGACAGGGTAAAAGACTCATCTGGCACCAGCACACCACAAAATAAGTAAGCAATAAAGCCTTAATGAGGTTAGCTGTCCAGCAAAGCCCCAATACCCAGGGCTGCACATCTTTCCCTAATACTGTCAGTACAACACAGAACAACTACAAGCCTTGGTGCTGCAACTGATATCACTCAGTATTCAGCTGTATCAAATTGGTGTTTAAACATCATTCCAGCCAATGCCCCAGCAGGCTAGGAGAGATGGAAGCGAGTGGAAATTGGAAAATCATTGCTGGGAATGATGTCAGATTTGGATTTATTGTGTCACCTTCAGTAGCAATTCTAGGTCAGAATCAAACTTTCATATTTTACTCTTCTATGCAAATGTTAGGGAGTGAATATGAAAAATGTATTCTTTAAAATGGAGAAAAAAAAAAGTCCATCAATGTTCTGCAAGTCCTATAGGTCTGCAGTTAATTTAAATGAGGAGTGATACTTCATATCCAGGTGGGATGATCATAAATCTTTTGGACATACATGAGTTAAGATGAAGAAAAATATGAAATCAGAAACGCTGTGAAGATTTTACATTTAAGTGGTACATGACAAAGTTGAGTTTGGTTTGTTAGGCCTCCATTTCAGTTCTACCTCCCCAGCCTGGTATCTGACCATTGAGGTGCATGTGAAAGCTTACCACACCATGAGCTATACAGCTGAAAATTCCCACTTGCCTTCACTAAAACAAAGGCAGCATTAAACGTCAGCAGTATCAAAATTTCCCCTTTACCCCTGAAATTCAAAGCCCAAGTGCTGTTTGGGTGTCACCAAACACAAGCTGTGCTAAGTCCTCAGAAGGTGAGGAACTTGGTTTTGTCTTGGGAAGGTTTCATAGTTTCACCCAAGAACATGTCTGTGGAAAAGCTATACACCTGCATGCAAATAAAGACATGCATAAACATAGTGTACGTACATAAACACAAATGCATCCTGCATGTGTATAAACGGTGTATAATTGATATAAAGTGTCTCAGCACCCAGCAGGTGGCACTCACACCCTGAGCTCCCGGGGCCGGGACTCTGCACTGCTCTACGGGAGGCACCATCTCACTGAGAGGTGAAAGCACCATGGGCACGCACCCGCCACCCTTTTGCAAGGCCTGATGTGTAAAGTCCAGCATCTGGGCCAAAATCCCATTTAGCTTACTGGCCAGGCACCCCCTCCATTAATTCCCCCAACAGCTGCAAGGCTCCCCCTTGACTGCTGCTGATTCTCAAGTGTTATTCCAGCCTTTCCAGAGGAGCAGTATTTTGGGGACCGAAAGGGTCCTGGAATATTTTCCATATAGAAGCATCACATTATGATATCAAGAACAATACAACCAAATGTAAAGCTTCCTTCAGACTTCATCACTTCTTTTCTCCCTTTGACACACCCAGCTAGCTTTCAATTAATCCCACTAATAATTTAGGCTTTTGAAGATCTTATGAATGAGCAAATCAGAACTGGAAGAGGAAACTGTTTTTCTTTGATTAAAATTAAATACTTGTTTTCACCCTAGACTTAAGTATCACTATCATATGTACATTCTTAATACACCTCCTTCTAAAGCTGAGTGGTGCTTCAACTTCAGCTGAGTGGGTTTGTTTTTAAAAAAATATTTTCTTTTCCAATTCAATATTCCACCCATCTCCCTTCCCTCTTAAAAAAAAAAAAAAACGAACAATAAAATCAGTTTAGAAGTATCAATTTGAAAACATCAGCTCTTTGTGGAGCAGTGCTGTTCCCTGTTAAGAGAATGCTTCGTGTCAGATTGAAAGATACCTTTCCAAGGTCATTTCATGTTCCAATGGGTTTGTTATGAAGTTGTGGAATGGCAGATAAGGTTGCATGAGATAGTAAAGTGCCTTCCTAAGCTAGTTCTGGGCAGTAATGTGCAACCAATATTTGAGCAAGGGACTTCAAGAAACTTCATATGCTGAAGTAAATGCTGCAGCAGGAAGGACAGAAGTAGTGCCAAGATAGTGATAATCTGTTTCCCAATTAAAAAAACCAAAATAATAAAAGGCCATTTTCTTGACAAGTTTGCACAAACTGCACACATTTATGGCACTTGGCAAAGGTTGAGTGATTCTAGGAACTTTAGGGGGTATCTCTTCAGCAAGTTAAAATACCCAACTCTTCAGCAAGTTAAAATACCAAACCTGGTGTAATAATGAGGATTTGATGCTAAAACCTGCTCAATTCAGCATCAAGAGTAATGCCTTCAAGTTGCCAGAACAAGAATACAAGAGTATTAAGTACCAGGACTGATAATCTGCAAGGTTAAAAAAAGGAGGGGAAAGAAAAAAAGGTGCATATCTAACTAAGAACAGTTCTTTGAAAGTCTTGTAGTTACAAGTGTGAGGAATGATGATCCAGTATTTTTAGACTGCTTCTAACAGATCCCAAAAATGGAGGAAACCATATAACAGCATCCTCTTAGCAAGCTTTTAATACTGCCTGAGCCTATCCCAAACTCTGAAAGAAGGTAAGTCTCTGACAGCACACTGAATTGTGTGCCATTTCAGCCATCATACTAGGGACTAAATCCTTCCCTGGAAGTAACAGAGGAACAAACATGCAAACTCCAGAGAGAAGAAGGGGGAAAGAGCCTCCTCATAAATGTTTAGCTACATCTTGACGTGGTTTAAAGCTTGATGAATGATCGCCCTTATGGAATACAAAACCACAAGTATTTGGCATTGAAACAGCCCTAACAAAAGGGTAGGGGAGCCTGAGGTAGTGTTTTTTCAAGTCCCAAATGAGTATTTTGGGGATCCAACAGCCTGACAGGAAAAAGATTAGAAAAATGGCCACCCAGCACTGAACTATGCACAAAATGCAGAGTTTCGGCGCTTCCAGTTCTGCATTGCACCCTGCGCTCCCAGCCCCCCGCATTCCCACAGGCTCGCAAACGCCCCCGACTCCCCCACACCGCTGTCCACTGCCGGGGAGGGGCGAGGGGGGGAACTATGGTCCCTCGGCGCTATCTGCAGCCACCCCGGGGCTCCATTACTACTACTTTTTATTTTCCTGCTAGTATCACTTTTCTAATGAATTGCTGTTACTACAGAAATGTAAATGTCACCAGCTGAGTAGTTCGGGTTTTTTTTTTAAACATCCGAAAAGGTAGGGAAAAGGGGGGAGCGGAGGTGGGGAACACCTCATTAATATCCACTATTAGACATTTTCAATGCTAAAGCAGCACCGACCCCCCCGCCTGCAAAATCTTGCGGCTTCATCACGACTGGCCCCAAGCCCCAAAAAGGGGTTTCAGTGCTTCATCAGCACCGACTGGGCTTACCAGCGGATGCTCCCCCGGCCACGCTCCGGCTTGCGCAGCGCGGCCCCTCCGCGCCCCCGCATCCCACCCCCGCCGCGCACCGCGCGTAACTTTGCGGACGCCGATCAGCGCCCAGGCTGATCTTCCGCGGGAGATGCTGCGCTCCGCGGAGGGCAGAAAGGCGAGAAGGGCGGCTGAGGGACAGGGTCCGGCAGGAGCCATATCCCGCCTGCGGCACTCCCGCACCGCACCGCCGGGCGCCGCGCATCCCGCTCCGCACCGCAGGCAGCAAGTCCGCCCCGCCACCGAAGCGGGGGCAAACCCTGCCCGGTGACCCCCGAAACGACTTGCGGCGGGGACGAGGGGGGGCACGGGACTGCCAAAAGGAGAAACGCGGAGAAGGGAATGGAAACAGGTGAAGAGACACCCCCGCGCCGCAGCCCCGCCGCCCCAGCCCTCCCTCCCCGCGCAGCGGCGCGGAGCGATGCGCAGCGGCAGCGCGCCCCGCGGGGGCAGCGCACGCCCCTCGGCCCTCCCCGCTGACCTCAAGCCAAGGACAGCTCGGCGGTCCCGCTGCGCATCGCGACCCGCGGGCCCCGCTGATCGGAGCCAGGCCAGGGCGGCAGCAAGGGCGGCCGGGGAAGCGAGGGGAGCGAGGGCTCCTCACCTGAGCCTGTCCCGGGAGGTGCTCTCCGCCGCCGCTGCGGGAGGGACGCGGCTCCCGCCTCTCTCCTCAAGCAAGGCTGGCCCGGACAGCCCCGGCCCGGCGAAGTTACGCACCGTCGCGGAGCCGGGCTCCCACCTGCAGCGCCCGACAGACTCCGGCAGCCGGCACAGCACGGCTCGGCTCGGCACCGCACGGCTCGTACCGCCCCCCTCCTCCCCATTGGAGACGCCGCCGCCCCGCCTCCGCCCGCCCGGAGCGCCGCGGGGGCGGCGGTGGGCAGCGCGCTGCGGGACCCTCCTGCCCGCGGGGCTGGCGGCCGGGACAGGTGAGGAGTCGTGCGAGGCACCAGCTCCTCTTGCCACCCCACCGCCCTCCCTGGTTTGGCTTGTGTTTTTTATTTTTTCTTTTCTGGAGAAGGAGGAAAGTACTGAAAGCGGGTCCGTGAGGTTACTTTATGCCGATGTTTCGTGCTGTTAGGCTTACGCGGAGCTCGTTGCCGCAGCAGGCGCTGAGAGGCTTTGATGCAGGCGCTGCCGCCCGGTCCGAACCATCTGAATGAACATGGTTACTTAATGCCCCGAGGAGGCAGCGGCAGCTCAGGCAGGATGTCACAGGGTGAGTAGTCCGTGACAGATCCAGGGAAACCGCAAACTTCTGTGCAACTGCTAGAGGATACGGCCGGCTGGACTTCCCGAGGACTTCCCAAGCAATGCTGCCCTCAAAAAAGCTGAGCACCTCGTACTTTCAGTCTGTTTTTCGATTTAAATTATAGGTAGCCCCTTCACAAGTGCACTCTAGACACATAAAAGGACAGCATTTGAGAGCTGTGGGACAGAAACAAGAATGCAGCTGAACTGATGGCAGTTTGAAAAAGCAGTTTCCAAGAAGTGGAAATTCCCCCTTAGATTTGGGAGGAACCACCCTGAAATTCTGGGGAAGTGAAGTTGCAGTTCCTGGGAACACAGCTGTCTCAAGATGGGAAATGTTCAGCCACATTTGGAGGTGATGGGAATACCCATACAGTAGTGAGAATTTCCTGGGCCAAAGCATACAGAAGAAGAGCCAGAACTACTCTCAGCTGACTTGTCTTTGGCAAAATGGTAGTAAGATGTCCCTCCAGACAAGCAGAAGACTGTTCCCAGACCAGGAGCTTTGGGTGTCACGCCTAAGTCATTAACACCAAGATTATGCCTGACCCTGCCAAGGTCTGTAAATCACGCCGAGGCTGATTTATCCCCCGTGGGAGGCAGCCAGAATTGCTGCATTTAGAAAGCCTGCTGGCTACACAGTGCCCAGCAAATCCCTCTGCTCGGCAGCAGGGAAAGCCGTCTCCCTTCCCGGAGGAGGCAAGCGACAGGGCAGGGAGGGCTGTGTCCCAAAGGCCACAATGCAAGGCAGCGGTAGGAAGGGCTGTGGCATCCCTTGGCTTCCAGCCAGCAGCCCCTGCTGGCACCTCAGCCTGAAGTTTGCCCACAGTGCAAATAATTGCTGAGATCCATCATATATAGTCTTAAGAGTTCAAAGGATAACCGTGGGGGAGAAGTCCTTGGGAGGCGGGGCACGGTGTGCCAGCCGCCAGTGGCAAAGGTTGAAGTTCCAATGGGGAAAGTTTTGTTCAGCACATGAGATAATTTTCTCTGATAAGTTATGCTTAGGTCGGCTCAGACAGAACATCCTGGTATTGCAGGGAGTTGTGTGACAAGCAATTTTCCTGGGTTCCTGCATTTGTGGTTTGTTTTTTGTTGCTGTTTTTTACTGTGGATCTATGTACAGCTATTGACTTTTACAGCTTTGCAAATTGATATGGAAGAGATGCACAGGACGAGGTGAGTGAGTTGGGACACGACCCTGGCCAATGCATCAGCAGGAATCCAGTGATGTCAGCGGAAACATGGCTCCAGCTGGGAGCAGTGAGGCCAGGGTGCCCAGCAGGAGCAGGGCTGTGAGGCAAGCAGTGAAGCTGTGAGCAGGAAAGTGGCATTGCCATTCCCCACAGGTTTCCACTAGCTATTGTGATGTGGACTGACAGTGCACTGCACCCTGTAAGGGGTTTCTTATCTCTGCTAAGGTCAAGGTGAGCTCTAGGAAGGAGTCACGCGTGTAGAACAAGTGCTACAAAGGGAGTGCAAGGTTTGGGAAGACTCCTGCGGGAAGCTGGTGCTTTGCCAGGGTGGCAGCAGGTACCTGGGGCTTTCGGGGAGCTGGCTTCAGGTAACTCATAACGATCACCCAGCCCTGGGACAAAATGGCTGAAGTGTTTCTTCTTCTGCTGATGTGGGAAAAGGCCACGCCAGTCCCTGTTGGAGAGGCATTAATTAAAGGAACTAATGGCGAGTTCCTAAAATATCTATTGGAGTGATCAGGATGTCTGCTGAGAGAAATCTGACTTGCTGGGCTTCAAGTTGTGCCAAGCCATTGTGTTCATCAGGAAATGAGGGTGTTCTGGGGCAGGTAAAACAGAAATAAATCATGCTGACCCTCCGCTGGTGCTTTCTACTCCTATTTCCAAAGCCACGTTTCAGGAGGTGGCTTACATACATTTGTTACATCGTTACTTAATAGGATGTAACAGATCTAAGGTGTTTTTTTTTTTCTTTTATTATGGTTAGTGCTTTTAGCACACTGTATGGGAATCTCTCCTTACTAAAATTACTATCCTAAGCACCCCTTTCTGAAACTCCTCTGCCAAGTATTCCCTGCGAAGTCTGCATTAGAAGAATGTTAATCTGATTTACAGTAACCTAACATGACAACTTGTGGTAATAGGTGATAAAAAGTTGAATCCTTGTGACAGAGAAGATGTTCATCTCTGGCCATGATATGAATATGGGATACCCCAGGGGTCTGACTCAGGAGAGCACAGAGCCTGTGAGCACAGGGTGATGAATGAAGGGAAGAATTTGCAGCATCATTCTAAAAAGCCATTTGTACAAGAGAGCATCATTATTTCCACACATTTCAGCAGTTCCTAGTGTGGGCTGGCCTCATATATCCAAACTTTTATGGGGCCTCTGTATTATTTGTGTGGCAGCGGTGGGTTTTTTCCTTTAAATAAACCCAATTAATAATGTTTCATCTGCCACTGCTTATTAACACACTTCCAGGAGATCGAGTGGTGGGAGCGGGACTGGCAGGAACTGAACTTCATACTCTGAAGGAGGAGTCCAACATTTTCCTGAGATCTATGCTCTGAGGGTGACGCTGGAGGTGCAGATTTGCAATTAAGTTTAGGTTCACATAAAAGTGGTGATGAATACTATAGCAAAATACTATGCAGATGGTGTTTTCTTTGCAGATCGGCCTTCCTGAAAAGTCTCTGCATCCCCACCATCACCGGCACATCAGCCGGCAGCACTGGCTATTGGTGCCCTCTGGCCCCAGGGGCATCCTGCAGACCTTCCACCATGGCACCAATCCTCACTGCTGTGCCATGGCAACGTGTTCCTGAAAAGTATCCCGGTGTGGCAGCTCACCTGCTTACAGCAAAATCCAAGAGTGTTTGTTTAAATGCTCTGTTTCCAGTAAAGGAAACTCTACACCTCAGAAGCAGCTTTGTCCCTGACTGGTTATTTTAAATTGGGGTTTGTCAGAGGGACCAGGGCAGTGTTTGTTATAATTTACCAGTCCCTAAGAATTGCTTTCAAACTGGAGACCATTATTACCTGAGATTAGAGCTGTGCCCAGTTTTATTTTTATACCATCATCAGTGCACATGATGTTTAAAGACAAAAAGACAGGAAAAGGCAGCATCTCTTCCCCAGCTAATATGTACGGTTTGGTGACTGAAAGAGATTTATTGAAATCAATGTGCACTTTACCATCGATTTCTTTGTGCAGTGAGGCCTCCTTTAAAGCTTGTCAGCTTTTCCTTGCAAAACTGAAATGAGACTAACCTGATGTATCAACAGTGAGTAGTTTGAAGTGATACTTCTCTTTCTCTCTCTTTCTCTCTCTCCAGGCTTCTGAGACACCACAAAATAACTTTTATTTAAAAATGTATTTATCACATTTACTGAAGGTGTCCCAACTGCCTAAAAAAATAAAAACTGCATAAAAAACTCATTTTAGCATTGGCAGGGGACTTGACCAGATGATCTAACTGGTCATTTATTGCTAGCTATGACTATAATTGCATGCCCACATTATGCTGTTTAAAATTTTAAATTCAACCCACACCATATTTTCATTCTGAAAGTGAAAGGAATTTACTTTAGCATCATTCTTTGCTCATGTCAGGAGAGCAATTTTTCACTGCTGATAAGAAAATGTCATTTTTTTTGTTTAAAATTGCAAATTAAAAAGCCATTTCTATGTCTCCTGAGCTTTTATTTATTGATTGTCTCATTATTTAGTGAATAATTTCAATTAATTTTATAATAATAACAATCTGTAGTACATATCTATTGACTTGTACAGAAAAGACTTTAAATAAACTATTGTGAATTATGATCTTGTCATAATGTCATGAAATGCTGCTTTTTCAGGCTCCATAAATTGACCCCTAAAAAGAATAACAAGAAATACATTATTTGTATTTTTTAAGTGGACTGACAGGCTTCTGCAATGAGGTGACCTGCTCAGTGGGTGAAGGGAGAGCAGTGGACATTGTTTACCTTTTCAAAGCAAGAAAGGACTTTGACATTATTTCCTGTAAGACCCTGATAAATAAGCTGCCAATATATATGTTAGGTGAAAGGACAGTGAGGTGGACTGAAAACTGTCTGGATGACAGATCCAGAGTGTTGTAAATGGCAGTAGGTCCAGCTGAGGACAAGTCCGTAGGACACAAGGGCTCAATGTTGGGGATCAGCACCTTGTAACCTCTTCATTAATGATTGGGATGATGGGACAGAATACAACTTTGAAGATGAGACAAAATTAGGAGGAGTGGCAGATACCAGAAGGTTGTGTGGCCATCTAGAGGGACCTTAACAGACTGAAGAAATGGGCAGGTAAGAATCTCATGTACTTCAATAAAAAGAAATTGCAAAGTGTAACTAGAGAAGATCAACCTCAAGCACCAGTACAGGCTGGGGGTTGATCAGCTGGATCAGCCAGGAGGTTATGATGGGCCTGGAGGTTCTGATGTATGAGCAGGTGATCACCAGCCAGCAATGTGATCTTCATTGCAGCAACTGGCTCTTGCTGCAAAGATGGTTGGTGGCACCTTGGGCTGCATGACGAGGTGTGTAGCCAAGAGGTCAAAGGTGGTGATCCTTCCCCTCTAGTCAGCACTGGTGAGGCCACAGCTGGAGTGCTGGGTCCAGCTCTGGGCTCCCCAGTACAGGAAAGATACAGACATACTGCAGAAGTCCAGCTAATGGCCCTAAAGGTCATTAATGCATCTGAGTTTCTGAGGTGGGAAGAGAGGCTCAGGGAGCAGGGACTGCTCAGTCTGGTGAAGAGAAAGAGCATCTGACATATGTATGTCAATACCTGATAGGAAGGAACAAACATGAGACAGACAGGTTCTCTTCGGTGATTCTCAGTGCCAGGACAAGAGGCAGCTGGCACAAATGAAATCACACAAAATTCCATCTGAACACAAAACCCCCCACACTTTTTACAGCAATGGCAGTCAAACACTGGCACAGGTTGCCCAGAGAGGTTGTGGAGTCTCCCTCCTTGAAAATATTTAAAAGCCATCTGGACAGGGCCTTGGGCAATCTGCTGTAGGTGTCCCTGCTTGAGCAAGGGGGTTGGACAAGGTGACCTCCAGAGGTCCTTTGCAAGCTCAGCCACTCTGTGATTCTGTGAGTAATTCAGATACCGCACAGAGCACATTCTTCCTACTTCTCAATGAGAAAACAACAAACGACTCCACTGCAATTCCATTTTCTGACTTTGATGAACGGAAATATGTTACGCATCATTAACAACATGCCAGCATATTAAAACCATATTATGCTTGTAAAATAAAGAGCATTTTTTCATCCATTGCCATCAAATTTATTTCTGAGTTAATCTGAAAAATCAAATAAATCCACATGGATCTCCCAGTTAGCGCTGCCAAGTATGTACATTCTTTAGTTTGAAATGAAAATACTTCTGTTCAAAGTTTGAGATGGAACACATACACTCTAGTGTTTCAAATTAAAACAAATTAGATGGTTTTCAATTGGAAAGCTATGTCAAAGCAAAGGAGATGGCAGTATTGCAGACTGGCCATTCTTCCTTATAATGGCTCATCAGTCCAGGCCAAATGTGCAGTAAAGCCAGAGAAACATCTGTCCTTGGTCTGGTTGAGGTGAATATGCAGGAGGCATATTGTGTTTTTGGACAGAACTGGTGGCTGCCTGCAAGTGTGAAGTCTGGACAATCCCAGACCACACTGAAGTGGAAGAGCATGCTGATCATCTTTCTTTTAGATGAAATGAAAGAAGAATTAAAGTCTCATTTATTTAGTCATAATTGAAACAAGACAAGCTACCGCCCAAGGTGCAACACAATATAGGAAGGCTGGATCGGAAGCTCAGCCATGTGGCTAGAGGGATTTCACTGGAAATTGGTTACAAAACCAGGAAACGGGGCACTGATTTGGTTGAAGCTTTGCATTAGCTTGTGGGTGGAAAGAAGCACAAACCAAGCAGGCAACCAGACAGGCAGAGAATGTGTGTGGCCCCAGAAAGGTAGCCAAGAACAAATGACTTTTTTTTCTTTCCAGCCCTGAAAAGCCCAGAAAAAGATCTCACAAACAGGAAGACAGCTTCTAACTCTCTTGTCCTTCTGTGTTTCAGTGGAAAAAATATTTCTATTTTAACAAACAGATTTTCTCCAACTTGTAAAAACAATGTCAACTTGAAGCAGCCCTAGAACTCTGTGAACTTTGGCTTCCTGCAAGGAGCAGCCTTATCTAACTGCAACACCATATAACCCACAGCACTTAAATCATTCTTCCATAAAGCAGGCTAGAGTCCCATCCTGCTGTCAATTAGAACTCCTCTCACAAAATAGACTGAAAAAGATGTGTATTGCAGCCTTGGAGCAATACAGCTTCTTCCACAAAGTTATGAAACCTTTCTTCCTTTAGGGATAAACAGTAAAGCAACATCTAATTTGTATGAATAACCCTTTCAGCTGCTTAAATACTTCCAGTGTGATGAATTTTTAAGCGTTCTGATTTTTCTGAATGTGTTAATCTTCCACACCTATTATTTTAGTGCAAACAGTGGATCATGCCATGCTACTATATTTCATATTTCCTACTCTGCTTTTTTGAAGATTTGTGATTTGATATCTTTTTCAAAATGGTAAAATATTAGCCAACTGTCCTGAGATGGTTCTCCAGGTAAAGTTTTATATCTGATGGTCTGTGGCACAGAAAAATATTCACTTGCTGACAAAGCTGTTCAGTCTACTTATGGTTCTTGTTGAATTGAGAATCTGCAGAAATGTGTAATGGTGCATGGACTACGGTTTTTTCCATGCCAACTCCATCTCTAAATGCGATGCCATTTGTGTACAGAGCTATCCAGATGTGTGACACAGCTTGATTTCCTGAGGCTGTCCAGGGAAATGCTTCAAGAGAAGCACTACTCTCTACCCCAGTGACATGAAAAATCCCTTCAGGATGCTATACAGTACCAGAGCAGCAAAGCTTCGTTACATTTGCTTTTAATGTGTCCCTTTTCATTTTGTTGAAAATCCATCTTTTCTTCTGAACATGTTCATGAAGCTCACATAAAATGCTTTTTGTCATGTCTGACTAAACCTTTTTTAATTTGACAGTGGAAATTATGCTTCTGTACTCTTAGATGGCTGTTTGTAATTTGGGCTTTTTCACTGATACAACAAAAATAGCTCCAATCTGAAGGTGAAAATTCTAGCCTGCATTTCTCTGCCAACACTCACAGAAGAAGTCTAGCAATGCAGGGGGATACAAACATATGTCTTAATCCTCTGAATGAACAGGTGCCTCATAGTTAAAGACAGATGTATACTTATTTGGAATATTTTTTATCATATCCACTATAGGTCACTGCCTCTTACCACCCCACTGCAATGCTAAGGACTCATACCCAAAGCACAGCATGGCAGCTCCCCATTTTTGTCCTCTCATGCACCTGGTTTGTGCCAAGGGCTGAGCTGGGAAGGGTACACAGCTCTTTGAAGTGAGAGGTAAGCTTTGACACGTAGGGAAAGGGAAGGAGAAGCAGAAGGATTCGGATCCTCAGCAGTTTGGGATGAGCCTACAGATCAAAATCATACAAATATTTACAAGCAGCAGATTCCCTTGGGTTTTGTTTGTTTGTTTTGTTCTCTCTTGCTTTTCTTTCTTTCTTTTTTGTTTTTCTTGACAATATGCAGTAGTAGGGGCTTATAATTTCCCTTTGCTATAGCTTGGGATCAGAGCAAGTTCCAAGGTAGGTGCTGTGATTTGTGGGGCTTGCCCTGCTCTGCTGAGCATGTGCTCTCTCTCTCACAGCTCCTGGCCACATCTCCCACTGGGTGGCCCTCAGAGGTCAGTCTCCAGCCAGATGGGCACTGCATCTGCTGACATAGGTGGGCTAGGATGGATGTGAAGAGCAAGGTCCAGCTGTAGGTAAGGCTGGGCTTGTTTTGATGCGAGCTGCCAGGAAGCCTAAGAAGACATTAAGCAGAGTATGCTGGTGTAGCTGCCTTTTCACTATTTTCTTTTAAAGCTTTGGCTTTTATGGTTGAAAAAACAAAGATGACAAGTGAACTGAAAACATTCTGAGGATCAGAAAGTTTGTAAAGGTGCTTCCTGGCAGCCTTTATATTATGATTATGTCATTCCTCAATGTCACTTACAGTTACTGTGACAGTAACTATTTAAACAATTTAAATTATTGTATGTGATTTAACAGCATGGATCTTGGACTGATTTCAAAAGAATCATTGCACATACTTAAGATTCATAATCTTCAGGGAATGTTACATGCAAAAATAAAAAAAATGCTTGAAGCAGGACTGTCTAATGAACTTACGTGTGTTTTCAGACCACACTGTTATCCCTCGCTAGACCACAGATTTCAAATTCTGGAGAGGAAGGGTTAAACTTCCTGACAGCTGCAAAAGTTATCACAAGACAAGTGGTACATATATCATTTAAAAAATCCAGAAAATCAGTTCAGCCCTTCCACAGTAGAGACTGAAAGAGAGAAGATGGTAATTCCTTAGTGAGATAACGTTTGTCTTGGGTGAGTATAAATATGAAATCTGGTTTTAATCTCATTTTCAATTTCAACTAAAAGGATCAAAACTAATTATTAAAATAGGACCTCAAATAGACTTCTTACTTATTACAGTAAAAAAAAAAAAGATTAACATTCATGAGGGCCCTACTTAAAAAACAAAAGACTTCAAATGAGCTGAAAGATGAAATAGATCCTGCAAACAATAGATAATGCATTAAGAAATACAGAATAGCATCAGACTCAATAATTACAAATATATTGACATATTTATCTGCTTTTATAGAATTT